GTACAGGCCTAAAACATTTCATATACCTGCATTTTAAAGGTTAACTGTAAACAAAAGCAAAGTGTAAATATTGTAAGAAGTTCTGCAGCAGAACTCGTCATGGTTTGTCATCACATCGTATTAAATTATTATGGAACAACATTTCTTCATCAAATATTTCACTAAAGAGCTTCAATATTTAAAGTTATAAATTCAGTTCAAAGCAGGTAGATTTTGGCGCCCCCAACACGTGAATCAACATCAGCATGAATAAAAAATAGGGAAATCATAACAGGAAGCAGAAAACATTTCTGCAGAGCGATGGTTAAAGTTAGAATGATCAACATGTTCCACATCAATAAATCATAAAGTCTGTCCTGTGTAAATGTGTCTCTGAGTCCTGACTGTCTACAATGAGGGAGAAGCTCGAGTCCCGCTGGCTGTGTTGTTGTCAGAGCCGTGTTTACATGGACGGGACGGCCGGCTCCTCCCCTTGTGTATAAAAGCTGTTTTAGTCAAGAACTAGAGAGAAGAAGAAGAACATACTCACTGATTATTTGGATGTTAGTAAGAGTTTTTAGATCACGCTCATTCTGTGTCAGTTTACATGAAATGTGAAGCTACGAGCTAACTACAGAGCGCTAACATTAGCATGCTAACACAACAATGTGAAGCTACGAGCTAACTAAAGAGCGCTAACATTAGCATGCTAACACAACAATGTGAAGCTACGAGCTAACTAAAGAGCGCTAACATTAGCATGCTAACACAACAATGTGAAGCTACGAGCTAACTAAAGAGCGCCTACATTAGCATGCCAACACAACAATGTGAAGCTACGAGCTAACTAAAGAGCGCCTACATTAGCATGCCAACACAACAATGTGAAGCTACGAGCTAACTAAAGAGCGCCTACATTAGCATGCTAACACAACAATGTGAAGCTACGAGCTAACTAAAGAGCGCCTACATTAGCATGCTAACACAACAATGTGAAGCTACGAGCTAACTAAAGAGCGCCTACATTAGCATGCTAACACAACAATGTGAAGCTACGAGCTAACTAAAGAGCGCCTACATTAGCATGCCAACACAACAATGTGAAGCTACGAGCTAACTAAAGAGCGCCTACATTAGCATGCTAACACAACAATGTGAAGCTACGAGCTAACTAAAGAGCGCCTACATTAGCATGCCAACACAACAATGTGAAGCTACGAGCTAACTAAAGAGCGCCTACATTAGCATGCTAACACAACAATGTGAAGCTACGAGCTAACTAAAGAGCGCCTACATTAGCATGCTAACACAACAATGTGAAGCTACGAGCTAACTAAAGAGCGCCTACATTAGCATGCTAACACAACAATGCAGGACACAGGTGATAGCAGCTCGAGAGAGGACAGTTTTAATCACGGTGCGTTCTAATGAATAACTCGTCCGTGTGAACGCGAGGAGGGGAGGGGGGGTTGGAGGTGTGTCTCTGGAGGAGGGCGGAGGCTTCAGTATGGAGGAGGCGTGGCCTAACAGAAGTTTGTTTTGGTTTAATTCTGGAGCTCATGGGCGACATCTGCTGGATCAAAAAGTCGCTCATTCTTCCTTTCACGATATAAGATTGTATTTCACAACCACAGATTAAATGAAAAGGTTTGATCTCCTCGGAAACAACAGATTCAACATTTAAGAAAAACGTTAGAAACAAGGAGGAGCGTGCGCCCTCTGGTGGCTGAACGAGCCGTTACATGTGGAGTGAGATTCACAGATTGTTGAATGAGAAGCAAACCTAGAAGAGGCTTCTTCATTACGTTAAAATCACCAAGAAGCAAAGATCCATTATTAACTGTTAATATAAATAAAGTTTTAATCCTGTTAAACTTTATTCAACCAATTCGTTCGCTCTCTCTCTCTTTTTTTTTCTACAGATTGAGTCGACATGATTCCACACGTCCTCACACACCTGCTCTGCCTGCTGTGTGTGTGTTCAGCTCGGCCTCCATCAGGTGAGTCCCTCCAGCAGGAAGTGATGTCATCGCTCGTCCTCTTGCCCTCTCTCTCTCTTATTGGCTTAATCTCAAACTCCTCACTCGTCCCTGATAAGTGTGTTTGTTTCTCTCACTTTGAAACCTTCTTCTCAATGCTAAACGACACTTTCCTGGAGTCTGTGTATGTGCTGACTTACCCAGAGTTCATTGCAAACCTGGTGAAAGGTTGAAAAAGTCACAAAAAACTTAAAGTAATGGGGGGGGGGGTTGCTGCACACAAACGAGCGCCCGAGCACTTGGGGGTTCGGTTCCACCTCAGCAGTGTTCAGGAAGTGAACTGGCACCTCTCCAACTTCCAGACTTGTTCCACTCCAGGACTTGAACCGGAGGATCCCCCCCCCCCCCACACACACACTCTGAGCTACTGCCGCCCCTTCTGTTTTCTGTGGGTTTTTTTTACAGTGTGTTAAAGATATGTTTGTTTTTTTATATTCATTAGAGGAGGGGGACGCCAATGAGTCAATCAGAACAAACAGGGGGGGACCAGAAACATGACAAACGTAACAACGAGGAGGAAATGCTTAAGAGGCTTTTATTATTATTATTAATATTTTATTTATTTATTATTATTATTATTATTATTATTACTTTATTTATTATTATTATTATTATTATTATTACTTTATTTATTATTATTATTCTTTTATTTATTATTCTTTTATTTATTATTATTATTATTATTATTACTTTATTTATTATTATTATTATTATTATTATTACTTTATTTATTATTATTATTCTTTTATTTATTATTCTTTTATTTATTATTATTATTATTGTTATTTTAATTATAATTATTATTATTATTATTATTATTATCATTATGTACACTAGACTCTGAACCCCACGTTGCTCCCTCTGCTTCTTCAGTGGCGGTGTGTGAATGTGTATGATTAATAACTTCACACACAGTAGAAGTTAAAAATCCGATCCCTGCTCTGAAGACCTTTAAAGAAATCAAAACTCTTTCATGTGATGATGAAATCAATAATAATAATAATATAATATATAATAATAATAAGAATAAAACCTCATGAGCTCCTAAAGCGGCTGCTTGGTGTCTGACATGCAGGAACCTGTTTTCCAGCTCCTCCTGGCTCCCCGGGCTGCAGAAGAACTCTCCTGCGTCCGGCTCTCTGGCGGGGCGGGTGGTGCTGCCGTGCCACTTCCCCATCACGCTCGACTCTACACGCGCTCCCTCACACGCCACGCTGCTCCACCACCGCTCCTCCTCGCTCCACGTCCAACCCCAAGGACGAGGTGAGGATCAAGTGGATGAAGCTGGAGGAGGCGGGGGGAGAAGGTGGTGCTGGTGGCGCAGGGCGGCGTGGTGAAGGTGGGGAAGGAGTTCCAGAGCCGGGTGTCGGTGCCGAGCCACCCGCTGTCGGTGGGAGACGCCTCCCTCATCATGGTGCGTCTGCGGGCGAGCGACGCCGGCTGTACCGCTGCGAGGTGATGCACGGGATGGAGGACATGCAGGACACCGTCAGCCTCAGCGTCGCTGGTGAGTAAAACAACGCACCCCGCTAACGAGTCCAACTAAGAGTCTGTGTGTGCTGAGTCTACAAACTTGTGAGACTAGATCCAGATCCAGTGATTTCTCACTTCCTGTTTGTGACGATGTTTCACCTCAGAGGTGTCACATTGTTTTATTATCCTCATTTATTGATCTAAATTTAAAGAAAAGAACAAAATGTGTTTTTCTGACATATCCGCCGCCAGCACCGAGGGGCCACGCGGCCTCGGGTGCGGGGATCTCAAAACCGGCGGAAGGATCATTACCGGTTTTGAGATCCCCGCACCCTCAGACTTTTTAGAGATGATAATAAGAAGTTTAAAAAGAAATGAAACGATATTTAAAGGTACAGTACGTTTACAGTGAAGCCGCTTAAATCATCAATTAAACATGTAGGAAATAAAGCTTAGGTTGATTTCACATCAGGGACCCGGGGCCCCGGATCCGAGTACGCTTGACCCCAAAGTCCGGCTCGTGATCAGTGTGGACACAAACGTACTGATCGTGGTACGATTCATGAGCTCGAGTAAGGTCCGCTGGAGATGTGAACACAAACAGGCTCAAACGAGGAAGTGGACCGTCACTTCATTAAGCAACATTTCAGGTTATATTTTTTAGATTACCCAATCAGGAAGCAGATATGCAGGTCAACCAGCTGGTTGCCTGTTGAGGGTTTACAGAGAGTAGAACTTAAAAAATAATCTATAATTTATTTAACAAACTGAATGAGTAGCAATGGTTAGAAAAGGAGAAAAAAATAAGAAATGAGTGACTTGAGCCAGGCCGTTTGCGTAGACCGGCAACTCAACCGAGCGGTCAACCATGTTTTCTGAGGAATCGTAGATATGTATTTTATATATATATATATTTTAGCAGGAACGTGAAAACTCCCTCAGAATAACAACTGGAGCCTGGCAGGGACACCTCCTGGTCATTTAGACTCCAAAATATGCAAAAACTCTGTAAGACCCTTCAGTCATAGTTTCAGCTCGTTGTGTTGCAGGTCAGCTGATCACAGCCTGATGAGCACCAGCAGGTAAAACCTCCACATATCTCACAGTAACATCTGTGAAG